CATGCAAGATACATTATCGCCAAAGCTAAGGCTTGATTTCCTAAGATAGACCAGCCAGACGGGAACATTAGGACCTGGGATGAGTTCTAAGATAAGATGCCAGAGTCAATAAGATAAATGTGTAAATAAAAAGCTCTGTTTGTTGGGGCAAAAGCTGCATGTTGATTGTGAGAAATTCAATTTTGCATTTCTGAAAAATATACACACCACAGCCTCTCCCAAGCCTGTTTCAAATGGAGCTTTGGACTTCCAGCACTATGAGCACCTACCACATTAAAAAACTCATCATCAATTTTCCTTCCAAATAGCCTTTTGCTGTTTGCTCAGCCTGCGAGATCCTCAGGGTGGCACAATCTAATAGCTGTGCTTATACCGCAGCTACCATGATAAGGACCTGGTAAAAATAGAAGCCCAAATAACTAGAGTCATTACACACACACATACATTTTTATGCAGTTTATGCAGATATTATTGCCAAAAAATTATTCTCCCATAAAGGCAAGGATTGGATCTTGCTGCCCCCAAAATGAGAATTTTACTCTAATCACATAAAAAGAACAACTTCATAAACACAGGAAGAAAGAGAGAAATGATGCTTCCTGTGAGAAGGAAGTCCATTTAAAGTGTGCACAAATTGATGCAGCCAGGAGGAAAAAATGCAAATAGAGGTTTGTTGCCCATTTCTGCGCTCCTAAGAAACATAATTTACTGACCTTTGAGAGACAAGTCAAGCAGACTTATAGAATCAGAAACAAAGACAACTCTTTCGGTAACTGCCGTGTTCCAAAGAGGTAATTATCCTTCCCTCTCCCCATGAGCAGCAGGAAATGAAGAGGGGTGCCATTACACTATGACAATTACTGTAATTTTAATTTCTAAAAATTGCCAGGAAAGTTTCCTCTAAAAATAAATAAATAAATAAATAAATAAATGAATGAATGAATGAATAAATTGAAAGTCTGCTCTATTTTTATGGTGTGGTTTGAGTCAAAAACTCATTCCTCAGCAAAACCGAGCTGTGCTTCCCCTCCTCCTACTCCCTTTTTGGGGAACCACCCACAACATTTACATGGTGAGAAAGCCCACTTTCCTCCCCATTAGTTGAGAAGATAGATGGCTAACTGTGATCAGCGAGGAGCCAGGAAAGGTGGAGGTGGCCCAAAAGACATGTCGCAGAGGCCAGAAGGATGCAGAAACCTGGCTGTCCCTGCTAGGCCCTGCCAGGGATGGACTTTTAGGAGCCTTCAGCTTGTCCTCTTCTTCTTTCTATGGGAAACAAGTGAAGGCAGATGCACTGTAATTAAAAAGAATGATTCTTTTCATCTCCTGTGCTCAGAGGGATTATTGGCCATTTTGTGGCTTTTCTGCAGGCTATCATTTATTATTTTAATATTATGGTTAAACTATTCTGCACTGTTAGAATTATCATCAAATATATTCTAGCCAACTGTTGCACTGTGGGATGGACTTTGCCCAAGAGGACAGGTCTACTCAGCTGTCCAACCTCTCCTACCACCACATCGCAGACCACGCTGTCTCAGGCTCAGCATCACTGCTATAGGAGACACCTGAAACACTCCTTCTCCTACACTGAACTCTCTTGCCTGGAAAGAGTAACTTGGAAAGGCGCGCACCAAGGTGCATCTGTGCAGGTGGAGAAGGTGGGATTTGAAGCACATTTGTCCCATATGTAAGAAGGTACCAGAGGTAGCCACGTCACCAAATAGACTGCCGGCTCTGCTCTATACTGTAACAGCAATTCTCACCAATGGAAAGCTGCTCTCTAGGACTCCCCTGTGCATTCTCTTCACGAGGCTTCTGATGTCTCATTTTGGTCACTGAGTGAATCTGCTTTCGCAGATTCAAGGGAAAGGACTTTTTTTTCTTAAGTTCAACACATCCAACGATGATCATTTAGCCTAGTAAAACATTGCGTCCTTCAATATATGCAGTAACGCATCTATAGATCTACATCGATTCGTCTACACACAAACACATTCCTACAACCACATATTTGATTAAGAATTTATATAACCTCAGGCTTCAAGGAATTTTGGATCAATTAAACAGTACTTACAGCGAAAAGCAATGGGCAGGAGAATATTTCCCAAAGCTTCGCTTTCCAATTTTTACCCATTATGTGGGTCTGGGAATCAATTATTCCCTAAAGGGAAATTACTACAATTTGTGTTACCAAACATCTTACCTTTCTCAGTCACCAATGTAAAAGAAGAACTATAGGCTTATACATATAGAAAAACTAGCATTCTTCAAACATCCTACAATTTCCTGTAATTGATTAAAGTGTATATAAAATAAAACCAAGTCCTGCAGGCAAGCAGCATTTGAATCAAGACTGGATCTGCACCAAACCAAAAAGTTCACTAAGCAGTCTCAGGAGACCCATAAATCAGGTCCCCTGAACAAATCTAGTGTTTTGCATTACTCTACAGGGCATTAACTTTAATGGCTAAATATATGCACATGGTGGTCAGGTTACAGTTGCTGTGGAAATATATTTTTGCATGTTCTGACCAGTCTGCAGCTGAAAAAAGAATAATAGGTAAAAAACAAGCCCACCATTGCATTCCCTTCAGCAGGTTTTATAAGATTAATTTCTCTCTTTTCTTTGTACTTGAAGGAAGAAGAAAAGAAGACGTGTGAAGCTGCAAATGTACAGGAAATCTGAAACAGATGTGAATTAATTTTCATCTTTTCCAACGAGTTTGTATGAAACCTCATGTGTCCCCAGCCCAAGCAAGTGTCACTGCATGATACGTATGTGCTCTTGGGCACGATCAAGTCTATTTCTGGGTCAGAAGCACCTCACCAACCTTTTTCTTTTTCATACTGCACTGAATCCAGCCACCTGCATTCATCTGCAAGTGACAGCTACAAGGAGAAGAAACCAGCTGATCCAGTTGAACACATTTTCTGATGATGATGAAGGTGGTTACTGCTACAGTCTCCTGGCAGTTGGATTCTTCCCTGCTTTAAAGCAAAAGAGTTTGCCTCTGTCTTGATTTTCTTCCAGCCTCCCTTTACTTTCAACCTAACTATCCCTTGCCTCCAAGATATGAGTACTTCTGTCTGACATATTGGGTTTTTTTTCCCTTATTATAACTCTGCTTATTTCCAGAGAAGATTGGTTTGAAAGGCAACAACCATTGCCAGTACAATAAAATTAGCCCTCTTCATCCTATCAGCACTGGTTAACGGCAAGTGTCCCACATCACACGGATCGGCCATGGCCATGCAACCCTGTGGTAGTCCAAGCAAGACCAGAGCTGTTCCCACCTCTGCAATCCACTCCACCAAGAGTAGTCCAACAAAGTTGGTTAAAAGAAGAAGAAGTGTTGTAATAAGAAAGCATAAAAACAAATCACAGCCAATTTGTACTAAAATAAACCCTCTTACTTTGGAGCTCAACCATCAAAACCAATAAATGTTTGGTGTCCAGTGGATTCGACCACCGTTCAACAATACACTGTTGGTGACCATGCATAACATCCATGGTCAACACAGATTACCAGCTGGTGGACAACAATTATCTGTGACATTTTCCTATAAATGCATGGCTGAAAAGCCACATCTGTGCCCAGTCACTCCAAAGGTGGTGGTGGAAACTCTCAGTAACAGTAGAGGGATACATTAGCCCTTTGGCATACAAAGACTTTTGTTTCATTGTCATTGCCACCTACAATCAGCTAAGTGACAAGAAGGTGTGATGCAGAATTGTGATGGCTTGAAACCTAGCTAATATCAAAGTTTTGATTGCCTGACTTGCCCTAACACTAAGGTCTTTGGTGGCATAGTTCCACCCTTCTTTACAGAGAAGCATTAATGTTACAAAGAACAACTACTTCTATACATGTTAAGGACAACATAGAAAACCAGGTGGCACAACAAGGTAGGGAACGAAAATTCACTTGGAAAGCAGAAAATCTGCTGATGCCCCTTAAAAAAACCCACAAGAGTCTCAAGAATATCAGAAATAATCACTGAAATCAGGCAGAGTTCTGCTTTTTTTGTAGCATGATATCAGTTGCAAATACCTAAAAGCTTTTTAGTGTATAGGACTTGAAAGGCCAACCTAATCTCTGCTGGACTCGTACTGCAGTTAACAGATCTCCTGGCATCAAATCTCTCTGTGGAGATTTCCTACACACACACACACATATATATTATTTCACACACACACATATATATTATTTATATAGTATTTTGGATTGTTATTTACATACATAGTATTTTGCACTACTATTTGTGAAAGACTATATACATATGCATATATATACGTCTATACACATACACGTATATATCTTTACACTCTTAATCGTGTTACATTTGTGCTCAGGCACATCTACATTGATTATATTTTCTATATGGATCCACATGCATGTACATAGGAAACTAAACTCAGGCACAAAACTGTTCTGTAGATGCTATGATTACATGTAGCATTTATTTGTCAACAAAGTTCCTGACACAGGTGCAAAGAGAAAAAAACCCAAACAACTCTATCTGCATATGTATAGCATAGCTGATCACAGTGTGATGTAGCTGAAGAACGCAGAATACACGATCCCTCTTAAAAGCAAGGACAGAGGTTTGGTAAAAACTCATCTTACAAATTGCACTTGGACAAAGATTTCAGGTAGCTTACAAGCCCAGCTCCCAAGGAAGGAGGCACAGGACTGCTCTTGGATACATTTTAAGAGTAAATAAAAATCCCAACAAGGATGGAAGAAACAGCTCCATGAGAACAGAAAAGCAGAGAAGAATTAAGTGGGTCTTACTTATTGTCTTTTTATCCTCAGTCCTGTATCTTCCACCTCCAAAGATGTCATAAAGCTTCTTCAACTGAAAACCACCTCTCTGTCTTCAGTACAGGTAGTGGGGGAGCACCACACTCTTCAGCATCATTAATGGAGTTAGAAAATAGCCCCTTTTTTTAGCTACCTACTTGCTGTCAAACATAGAGACACGCATGAACTTACCTGTTTGGTACTTCTCTGCCCAGTAGGAAGCAAAGCTTTGGATTTCTCTGCTATTTTCTGTAAAAATAGAGGGGGAAAAAAGAGAGGGAATGGCTGAGAAAAGAGTCCAAACATGAAGGAATCATACGAAGCTACTCCTTCTGCTTTTTAAAGAAAAGGACATAAAGAAAACTCTTATTATGCAGAAAAAGAAAGGGAGTATAACCGCATTGAAAAGTTTGATCTTGCAAAAATTAAGAGTCGTCAAAGCTTCCAGAATGACAAAGTTATGAAAACTGAACCACACATTTAAGGAATGACAGCTAGGACGTGGATAAGTAGCAATTTACCACTCAGATTGGTTTCCTGACGCAACCGGGCATTCACAAACTGCGGCGGCTAATTTTGGCACTTCTGAATTGATGACAGCTTTTTAAAAAAAAAACAAAACAAAACCAAACAACAAAACCCCAAACCACAAACCTACATGTGCAATTCAGATGGATTGGACTCATGAACATTAAAAAACAAAAAAGCATGAAAAGGGTGTGTGAATATGGGGGTGGAGCCCTTTACTGGAATCTTTCCAATTTCTCATTGAAGGGATAAAGTCACGTCATTTAAAGACCCTGCACTTAGGTTTTTGAATAGGACAGAGAAATAATTGAAAGTAAGAGATAGTACTAGAGATAATGCAATGCTAGTACATAATGTACATGTGTTGAAGTGTAATTTTGTGTCCTTTCCCTAAAATTTATTTATGTATTTATTTTAAAACCTTAGGCAGCAAGTGCTGGGAAATCAATGAGTACAGACTCTTTCCAATAGAGTTACATTATTAAGTGTGTGTTGCCAGACAAATTTAATTACACCTGTATAATTACAATATAATCTTCCCAAGGGTCAAACTCACTATAGTAAAAGAAAGCAACCGGAGTTTGTCCAGGTTGTGCTTTCATTAATCCAGATATATGTTCAAACGTGCTTCTGCAGGGGAGAGAAGCACGATGGTAAATTTAAATCATTACTGTGGTGTTTAAAAGCAAAGCAAATCTGCTCATCAGCAGAGTGTTCCCAGGATAAAGTGGGAGAGCAAGAACCGAATGAAGGAGCTGGAGTTCAGGTTTGGTTTGGTTCATTAGACAGCTTGACTTTGGTGACACCCACAAGATGCATTTGGAAATCTTCTGGCAAAGCCATATAACAGATCAGAGCCCTTTTTTTTTTTTTTTCTTCTTTCTTTTCCATTGCTGCTGAATTGTCCTGCAGTAGCATGCAGGTGCATTTTCCAATGTAATGATACATTGCTCAACTGATAAAGTGAGAAAAAAAGGTGGAAACTGCACGTGAGCATCTCTGTGGAGATGCTCCACACTTGCTCATACTTAACACATTCCCCAACTCACATACTGAAGAGTAGAAGCAAGAGACACCCTCACCTTCTGCACAGCTCCATATCTCTGGATGGCATCAGACAGCTGGTTCTTCAGCCGGTCCAGCTGAAGACGCTCTTGCTGTTTTGGAAAAAACAGAAGCCTGGTTAGCAGATCTGCAGAGATAAATCTAGTAGTAGAGTCTGTCTGTGACCATGGGAAGCAGTCCTGGTGGGAGACATCAAGTAAACAAAGTGGGCACAAATAGCATTGTAAAATTGCAGTTTCACTGGGGCTGCCAGGATGCTATGAAGTTTTATTTTAGGAAGGGAGCAGAAGATGCTTTAATCTTTCAGGCCAAAACAATTAAAAAAAGTCACCTTGAATACTCAAGATAGAACTCAAGTCACGACTACAGTGTGGTCTGCTATCTGAGCCGGGCACCCTCTGTGACAGCGATATATAGTGGGACATTTTGCTGTCCTGTTTACTGCATGAAGGGGGTCTCATTCGAATATCAGTTCTTGAAGATTGTGAAATACAAGCAAACGAACAACTTGCTGCCATCAAAAGAACAGAATGGTTGTAGTATGGTATCCTCCTTCTCTCCAGCCCATGATAATCTGCTGGAGATGATAACCCAAGAGATCCTCCTATAAGAAGTCCCTTATTGGGATGATACCATGACAGAGTTTGATGAAGGTGATGAACTGATGGACATTGAGAGGTCGTTGAGAAGTCCATCAGCCTCAACAACTTTCTCTCTGCCTGGACTAGGGCCTGATTGTCAGAAATCAGCTTCCATGTTTTCCAAAACATGTACCCAAATATCACTGCTTTTCTGCCTGGAGCTTGCCTCACTAAGATACCAGTCTATGTTTTAAACAAAACATTATCAGAAAGAAGACTAGAGCCAAGGCTGACATAACTGGAGGTGCATGTTAGCTCTGGAGCCCTCAGTATAAGAAAGGCATGGACCTGCTTGAATGGGTCCAGAGGAGGCCATGGAGATGATTGGGGTGATGGAGCATCTCCCCTGTGAGAACAGCCTGGGAGAGTTATGGTTGCTCAGGCTGGAGAAGAGAAGGCTCTGCTGGAGATACCTTATAGCAGCCTTCCAGTACTTAAAGAGAACTACAGGAAAGATGGGGGGGGCACTTTTTACAAGTACATGTAGCAGAGGTAATGTTTTCAAACTGAAAGAGGGTAGATACAGATTTGATATAAAGAAGAAGTTCTTCACTGTGAGGATGGTGAGACACTGGAGCAGGTTGCCCAGAGAAGCTGTGGACACCCCCTCCCTGGAAGTGTTCAAGGCCAGGTTGGACAGGGCTTTGAGCAATCTGGTCTAGAGGGAGATGTCCCTGCCCATGGCAGGGGGATTGGAACTAGATGACCTTGAAAATCCTTTTCAATCTAAACCATCCTATGATTCTATAAATCTATTCATCGTGCTGCAGAATCACTGCTCAGAGAGGGAGTGATCAAACCCAAGCAGCCCCAAGCAAAGGAAATTCTTTTGGAACTATTCCACGCCTCGGATCTCAGATTTCAGGGGTACAGGAGCTCACGTGTCCAGGTTTTTCAGAGGGGAATGAACTGCAAGGAAGTGGGACATCACCTTAAAAACCAAGTAGTGAACAAAATCCAATCTACACTAAAGCTACTAAGCAGAAATGTTCACTTTACAGTAATTTCAGCTGTTTCACACAACTGCTTAAGAATAAAAAAGTAAATTTCATAAAGGATGGGATAAACATCTTTAATTTCTGACAGTGTTTTCATATACAGAATCACAGAATTCGTATCTTATAGTTCTTCATCCAAAGCATTAAAGCCATTTTTAGAACAGGCCAAGTATCATTATTCCCGTTCTACAGAAAAAGATCTATAAACTTCACGTTTGTTCTACATGGAAAGATTGCTACCCTGGCGAGCTGATCTAATGGTCCAGCACTCATCCTACAAAATCCTGGAATTCCAGATAGGCCTTTCTATTTAAGTACTTGGAAGTTATTTTGAAAGAAAGCCCCAAAATAACCACGTGCTATTTTACATCAGTCTCCTACCTTGTATCATACTGTTCCACCTAGATCAGTATCTTTGCTCCTGAAACACTGTCAATTTGCTCAGCTGGGCATCCTGACTCCAATAGCCCCAGCAGCTCCTGGAGTTGCAAGGGAAGTCAGAGAAATACCCACAGTGCACCTTGCTGGTAGTGCATTGCTGGTGGAAAATAAGGAGGAGAAAAAAAAAGTGTATCTTGTGTCCATGTGTGCATGCAAAACAATGCACAGAAGAATGGATTGGAAAGGGCTGATTATAAAGCTCTAAATTAATGGAAAGCTTTTCATGCTGGAAGAAATTTTCTGGGAAGAAAGTTTTCAACGATACTCAGATCCCCAAGGGATAATACCCACCAGAACTATTTATTCTATATAAGGGACGACGTCTTCAGCTACAGACTTTATATCAAAATTTGTAGATTTCATTACTTAAATTGTGCATTGTTAGAAGAGTTAAAAAATTTAAATCTGGTAAATTAATTGACCAGGAAGCAGAAGATTTATTATGTGATCTCAATAGCAAGCCTTTTTGGTTGTATTTTCTCCCTCCACATCACTGTGGAAACAAGGGCGGGGGGAGGAGTAAGATAGACACCACATTTTTTTTGTCCCAATCAGCTTGAACTACGACATGTGTCTATTTCCTTCAATTTTTAAATATTCTTCCTTTATCTTCACAAGTTTTCCTCCCCCTGACAGTAAAAGCTGTTCTCCTGAGACACAGTAGACACTATCTGTACATCACTTACTTGGACCTGAGCAAAGCCTTTGTCACTGTCCCGCATGACATCCTGGTCTCCAAGATGACTAAATATGGGCTTGATGGAAGGACAATTCAGTGGATAAAGAACTGGCTTGATGACCGCACCCAAAGAGTGGCTGTCAATGGATCCATGTCCAAGTGGAAGCCAGTGACAAGTGGGGACCCTCAAGGATCAGTACAGGGACCAGTCTTCTTTAATATCTTTGTCAGCAACATGGACAGCGGCATCAAGTGCATCCTCAGCAAGTTTGCTCACAACACCAAGCTGTGTGGGGTGGCTGACACTCTGGAGGGTAGGGATGCCATCCAGAGGGACCCTGACAGACTGGAGGGGTGGGCCCAGGCCAACGACCTGAAGTTCAACAAGACCAAGTGCAAGGTCCTGCACCTGGGATGAGGCAATCCCAAGCACTAATACAGGCTGAACAGTGATTGGCTTGAGAGCAACCCTGAAGAAAAGGACTTGGGGGTACTGGTGGATGAGAAGCTCAACATGAGCCGTCAGTGGCACTTGCAGCCCAGAAAGCCAATCGTGTCCTGGGCTGCATCAAGAGGTGTGTGGCCAGCAGGTCGAGGGAGGTGACTCTCCCCCTCCACTCTCATGAGACCTCACCTGGAGTGTTGTGTCCAGTTCTGGAGCCACAGCACAAGAAAGATCTGGACATGCTGGAACGTGTCCAGAGAAGGGCCACAAGGATGCTCAGAGGGCTGGAGCACCTCTGCTATGAAGACAGACTGAGAGAGTTGGGGCTGTTCAGTCTGCAGAAAAGAAGACTCCGAGGAGACATTATTGTAACCTTCCAGTATCTCAAGGGAGCTACAAGAAAACTGGTGAGGGGCTTTTTAGGATGTCGGGCAGTGATAGGACTAGAAGCAATGGGTTAAAGTCAGAGATGGATCGGTTCAGATTGGACGTTAGGAAGAAGTTCTTCCCCATGAGGGTGGTGAGACCCTGGCACAGGTTGCCCAGAGAGGGGGTGGAAGCCCCATCCCTGGGAGTTTTTAAGGCCAGGCTGGATGGGGCTCTGGGTAGTCTGATCTAGTGGGGGAACTAGATGATCGTTAAGGTCCCTTCCAACCTTGACAATTCTATGATTCTGTGATTCAAGGGCAAATAATTACGTTCTTGTGTGCCATTATAACTGGATTTAACATGACCTTGCTTGATTCCCCTGTGGACCCAGTTTATGTCAGAAAATGGAGGCAGGAGATGAGCACAAAAAAGCACAGATCCCAGTATCTCCAAGATTTTGTTTTACCAAGATCTGATGTAATTATTCTTAGAGTATGCAAGAAAAAGGAAAAAGTAGTCCTTGTAGTCCACCACTAATCAAAGCAACTTGTTGGAAGAGTATTAAGGTTGGTGTCTACATATGGAGAACAGTCATCCTAGGCTTCTCTCCCCATCTTCTCGAGTACAGCATCACCCATTCATATTTTTTAGTGGGCTGCACTGCACATGGCCTTCCACAGGTTAGAAATGATGATTCATCTCTGAAATCCTCGTCTTATATGCCTGCTGGCAAGTGACAGAAATCCAGACTGTAAAAACAACTTGGACAGAGACGACGTGTTTTTAGATCAGTATTTTTTCTAGGTGGAAGGACAGTGAGAACAGAGTTGAAGTAACACAAGACTTTGGGAAATGGCAGGAAGTGAGTGACAATAAAACACCAATTCAGGGAAGTTCCTGACCCAGAAGCTATATGGATGCTGGATGCAAGAATGTGACAGAAAACTGCTAGACAGAATCAAGTAGAAAAGAATTGTCCTTATTGTCATTTCAGTTGCTGAATAAACCGCTAGGTAGGTGAAACTTCACCTCAACTCTTGCAGAAAGTAAAGTGAGAGCTTGTTCCCCACAGCATACTTCTGCTCTTCCCCAAGATGCAAATCACAGGCCAAAGTCAAGGAGTATGAAGGTCTTTGTGGAAAGGTCAGAAATCTTCTGTTTGTCCAGTTATTGCACTGAGGACCAAGGGATAGGGATCTTTCATAGCCCTGTGACAACAGTGTTCATGTGAGTTGAACTTACTGCTGATAGAAGACCAGTCTGTCCTCAAAACAGGTGGGGCTGCAATGGGGTAGATGGGAATTCAAAAGCCTCCTCTGAATTACCTTTTCCCCCTGCAGCCTTCACACTAGCATACAGCACTGAATGAGCGTCATATTCCACTGCTTTTCTCCTTCCAGACACTTCAACACACTTCCAAGCTCAGCTGCACACAGTGGTCTTAAAAAAAAGTGATATTTAACCAATTCCAAACTCAGGTGGAGCCAGATGATTTCTGCAGCATTTTCACCCAAACTGAGCGAGATCCCGAGATAGGTGTGAGCTAATCAAGGCTTTGTTACGGATTTCTTGATTTTCAGTTCCACATAATTCAGTTTTGGGAGAAGGACTGATTCCTGTGGCTGTTTTCCCATTGGTCACTTACAAATCCATCTATGCTTGTTGAGTAACAAGAAAGGAAGTTACAACAGATCGTGGAGCTCAATAGCTTTAAAAAACGCACCACCACTTCTTTTTTCATTACTCCTCCTTCCGTAGGACCCATCCCTCTCCCCCAACATCTTGAATTACACATACCCTGGATGAGCCTCTGACAACCTCCGACAGCTGCTTGATGGCTTTGGTGCTAGTTGTGATGGTTTTATTAGTCTCCTGCTGGGTTGCATGCCTGCAGAAGAGAAGAGATGATGGGCAAAGCAGTTGAAATCCATTGCAAAATAAGACACTTACAGGAATTTATCAGGCTACAGAGCAATTGAGGCAACACAGCACACAACACATGGAGCCACACTATGACTACACAAGTCCAGGGTCTTGACCAGAAATGAAAGTCCTCTGGTTGTAGAAAATACTAGCCAGGAGCTGCCCAAAATCTTCCTCCTGTGATCAGTACAAAGATGACAGTTGTAGACCTGCAAAGTCAATGGGGGAAGGTAAGGTGAAAATAGGGGGTGGGCAGGAAACAAGGCCATCAAGGATGGTTGTTACTGAAACTGAAAATTTCAAAAGATAGGTTGTATAGCAAGAAAAGATGTGACTGAGGAGTTACCTGATGGCTGGCCTGGGAAAATCTTGTACTCAGAAGAGAAATTTGAAGAGACAGAAACTGAGGAGGACAAATTCACTTACTGTGATCATCCACCTGATACCGACATAGTATCTTCAGGAAAGCACTGTGAAAATGAAGGTTAGGTGCTGCTTTACACACACTGAGACAGGCTAGCAGGGAGCCAAACCAGTCCCCTCTCCAGTCACGGTTTTCCCCCTCTTTTACACCCCAAATGCCAGTATCATTATTTCTTACAAGCACTGATTGCTGACTTCACTGTTTGGGACCACATAAAGTAGGGGGAAGAGACATAAATGCTGCCCAAAGGTATATATTAGCTCAGTCTAGCAGTTCCCAAAGTTTTTAAGGTCAATGGGGTATTTTTAGCCTCTAAGCTTCCCCAGGAAGCACTTCACATCTCTTTAGACAGAATGGGGTGGTTTTCCATAATGCTTCAGTCAAAAGCTCCAGAAAGACCTGGAGAAAATGATCTTTTTTCTCTCTTAGAGGACACATTTGAGCCATGGTTGTGTTGAAAAGACTTAGTTGTCAGTGTTCTTTTTGCTGCGCAGGTGGGATGTGGAGTGAGTCAAAGTTCTATGATTAAAAAAACGTTAAAATGATTATTTATGGCATCTTTCTCCTGAAGATTCATGGCCCATCCTGGCTCTTCAGCTCATTCCTGTTTCTCGGTCAGTAGTGATGGAGATCAGCTCTTTCCTCAGCTCTTTCAGCACCTCCTTTGAGAAACAAGACCAGCCCCGAAACAGCCTTTACCAAACATGACCATAATTACAAATAAATGAAGACTTCTCAACAAGCATCAGACTATCATTTCCATCACATCAGGGAGGATGGACATAGGCACCACAAACTGTGATATTCACTCCCACAGCAAAGGTTGGCAGTTTTATTCCACTGAAATAAGATCTCTGTGGAAACAGCTGAGGTGGGAAAGCTGTCTAGGATAAAAGCTCACTTCATTTTATGCATTACATCTACCAGGTATACAAGTGAAAGCTTAGTGTAACATGAAGATGGCATCTCTTAGCTGCAGAACAGCAATTCAGATCTATGCTAAGGGTTTGACAAGCAGATAGAAGCCATGGACCACTTTGGCTCCATACAGGAAAGAGAAATAACCTCATATGAAGACAAGACTGGATCCAATAACCAAGTTATTCTCAGCTCTCCTTAGTTAAATGCATTTCTGCATTCAGTCATCAAAATGAATTTAATTTATTTATGATCCAGGACCCAATGCACTATCTGATGAATTGCATCATTTTTAATTTGAGGTAGAAGAGGTCATATCTGCCACAGACAGGTATTCCATTCTGTTGTGGCAAGAGAGGGAGCTGGGAATTGAATTCAATCACATCTCCTGCCTGAGTCGTACACGGCCTGATCCCCTACCTTTTAATCGAGTGTAGCTTGCCACCAAGTGCATGAATTCCATAAGTGGCAGTTTCAAAACTGAGACTTCCACAAGTAATTCCTCCTAATGCAATGCAAGATGCTGGAGTTGACGTCCAGTCATTTTGCAGAGCTCATTAAATTATCTGCCCATAGAACAAGTTGGGAATTTAGATACCAGCAATTCCCCATCCCCAAAGTAAAATGGCTTGTTAGGCTCATGCAACTGATCCTTCCCAATCTTTAAAGTTAAATAAAATCTCCTTCATTTGCATTCTAATGCAAATTTTATGTTAGATCTCTTATGTAATAAATCCATGTCACGCACAAACTTTGCAGTGAACTGCTGCAAAATAACTGGGAGCTGGCATACAAAAAATAAAAGTTCTGCCTTCCACGTCTTAATTCAAAACGCACTTTAACCAACATGCTGGTGCTTGATTTTGGCACTTCCCACTATGTTGTCAGCACAATTAACTTCTTATTGTTCAACCTCAGATATAAACTTAGGAATCAGACAGTGATTATATTTAATTTACATTAAATGCTATTAAGAACTTCATTAAAAAAAGAGCCCTTGAAACTCCATTCCCTGTAGCTTTTTACTTTAATATGTAATAGTAACAAGATATGTCACCATTATTATTATTATTATTATTATTATTATTATTATCTTTCTTTATATTCTTCTCCCCATGGAAGTGTGGAAGTTAATTAACAGGGTGTCTCTGATTAATAAAATTTGCTTCTGCCAAGGTCCTCCACACAATAGTAAGTTAAATACTCAGTCTGTGGAGATACTGAGCACCTACAATATAAGCGTTGTAAAAGACTTGCCCGTCTACAGTGCTACTGTGAAAATAAGCACTCTGAAAGTAAAACAAAAAAAGGCCATCTCTCAGGAAAAATGACATCTCTTGCTGTGCATTTCTGAACGTACAAAGATCGAAAAGACAATGTACTAAATAATACAAGAGATGCGTGCTGCTGTCCAAGAGTTTCCTATGGCTGCTGTTTTGTTGTGTTTTTTTTTCTACTAGAGAAGTACAGTCCACCGAATCCATAATCCCCAGCACGCAGCTGCTTGCGTTTTGTTCTCTGAACGATCATATCTGTAATTTATTTATCCAGATTTAGAATGAGCACAGCGAAGAGGCAGATGCCACAACGGCTGCTTCCCTTCTCTCCGCAGGGATGGAACGAAGGAGCTTATCTGTCGTTTCCGATGTTTTTTTGAGACGCTTGAAGAATGACCGAGTCAATAAAAAAATAGTCAGACCCCAAATGCAACAGCAAAGGCTGACATAGGAAAGACTTGTCTCCACCTCACCACACCTGCCACCACTCACCATCATCCCAGAGCGATTTATTTTCAAAACAGCAGGAAAAAAAAGGTATTTCTGTTGATAATACAGGATATAGCTAATTTTATTTTCATCGGAACCCTAATATGAGAGCAATAATAAGTTTTTCAGGTACAGAACAAAGATACTTTTCCTGTACTGGCTTAAACAACTTTAGATTTAGAATCTCCTTTGGCACAGTACAACTGCCTAGCAGTGGAATGGTTTTAAGTATTTAAGAGCTGGGTGGGCAAGTCGGTTTGGCTACAATTAAACTAGGTAGCTCAGCATAACTTAAACCATATATTTCTCTTTTGAACAGTTACTGTAGTGATTACCACAGTTTTATTGTACAAAAAGAGGTAATAACCTTAGTATGCAAAGAGCACTGAGCTGCATGATCTGTGGCTTAAGCAGAAATAGGTCGAGTATCTGCATTTACACCTCGTCCATGGTTGTTGGAGACATAAATACGTAAGGGTGCATCAAATATGCATGAGGAAATTGTTCACACCACAAGGCTTTTTTAGCCAGTCTCTTCCCTGTCTTAAAGCTGGATTTTGTGAAGGACTGATGCCTGCAGCAGCTGATGACAGCCCTCAGCAAACTATATATACATGTATATATCATTTTATGCACTGGCCAGAGGGATAGCCATGGAGTAGCAAGTAGCAAGGTCCCTGAGGGTCCCACTCTCCACCTAATGAAGGTGTTCAACATCAGAGTAAAGTCAACAGAGTTTTTTCGTGGTATGAGGAGAGGGGCACCTCCAAAGGTGCTTCAGAGAAGTTCACCCTTCAGCACTAATCCACCACTTCTGGATGTCTCTGACACAGCCAGGATGACCCTACAGCAGAGCTAAGGATGTTTCCAGAAATGGACGATATGTTCAACAGTTGTATTAGCAAACACGTATCTACAGAATGGAAGGTCATGCTGCCTTAGACATCTAGAATTTACTGGAGAGCCCCACACCTCATCCTCTATGGCTGCTGGCTCTGCTTCTGCATGATGAATGCATTGGGCATCTCTCATCCATAAATACGCATTGAAGATGTAAACAAAGTAGAAAGGTGAGCTAGGAGGGAAAGTTTCACCAAACCCTAAATTATCTTTACTGTATCATTAAAGCTACCAAAGGAAGAAAGGTTAAATCTTCTCTTTTTGCCTCCAAACTGAATCTCACATTTTATTTTATTTTTTTTTTTCCCAATTCTCCTTTCGGATCTGATTGTTCACATTGAGGAATCGTTTACAATAGAGCAAAATAAGAGCTCTAACTCTGATCTGTCAGCAAACCCCTTTGCATGGTGTAAAACACCCAGTAGAGTAAAAGTCAGGACAAAAAATGAACTGCTACTTCCAGGTTTCAAGCCATGCCATATTCTACAATAAAAGCATCATAGGTTTCCAATTTTCCTGTCACTTGAAATTATTAGGAGATGTGGTGCTATTTTTTCTTTGGGGAGCTTTAAGGGATGGTCTGTGGGCTGTGTGGGAAGGGGGCGTACTTCACACCCACCTGGCACGGATGCTGTGTCACCTCCAGAAACAAACATGGGTATAGGTTAGCAGCTATGGGGTTCAGGAGTTCTGGATTAAAATGTATGAATTTCAATCAATTTTCTCAGAGAACGGTCCTCACAAATTCCATCGCAGACATGCAAACCTTTGGAAAACCTTTAGCAAAACTTTCCATGGTATTCTCAGTACCTATCAGGTACCCATCTTTTTGTATTGCTTCGTAAAAAGAAAAAATGAAGAAGCAGTTATTACTAAACAAAGGAGAATACGTACTCCAGTATGGAATTAGACCAGTAACCAGCAAGCAGCTGGTTACTCACTGACCTGCTACCGAAA